TTTGGCATGGGCAAAAACGGAGTTGGGCTTGCCGGCTCCTGCTTGCACTCCTCCACCGGCAGCTGGGTGACAGTGGGCGCCTCCGGCTGCAGAGTTGGAGTTTCCTGCTCCATGCTCGGCACCTGCTTGGGGATCTAACTGGTGACCCGCCTCGCGGGCTGCGTGACCGGCAAGCGATGAACGCAGCAGCTCTTGCCTTCACGTTGGTGGGCTGAGGAGCCAGGGGAAGCAGCAGCTCAAGGGTGTGAGATTCTTCACCTTGTCATAGTCCATGTGAAGGAACCACTCCTTGTGTGGGACGTAGTGTTCTTCCCAGTGAGGGGTGGGCACAGTCGTGCCACCTGCTTGCTGCAATCTTTTCGTATACGGGCACCTCCACGTGGTCCCCCTGCAACTCTTTTGGCAGCAGGCGGCATTGCGGCTGGAAATTCCGCAAGCACGCCTCGCCCTGCTGGACCCGCATGTTGTACCTCACGATCACCTTCACTATCACGAGGTCCTCCGCATTCCACACCAGCTCCGTGCCACGATGCATGTTAAAAATCGTCCTGGGGGTGTGGCCCAGAAGCTGGAAGCCCAAAGCGTAGTAGACATTGTTGCCGAAGACATTTGTCTTCCACGCGTAGTGGTCGAAGACGTGCTCCCAGTCTTCTGCTGTGTACCTTGGCGCACAAGGTCGGCAAGGCACGAACAGGCAAGACTACAACAACCAAGGACTAAACATTCAGGAATCATTACCAAACACAAATTTCTTGGCAAGGCGCACTCCGACTCCACGGCCTCCTCGGCCGTGATACTCGCGTGCCCCCAGCCCGGCGTCGTTATCTGACGCAGTCAGCTTTCCCTGTCTCAGGATTGCCGGGGCACATTCCCAGTAGGTGCCGTGAACCACCGAGTGCAAGTGGATGCCATCTGCGTTTCCGCAGATGTCTTGAATACGACGCTGCCACTGCGCAGAGTGCTGTCTGTCCGACTGCAAGTAATCGAATTCGATGTGGCCAGAACTTTTGGAGGTCTCCTGGGGGAAATGGCGGCATTGGCCCAGAGAGTCGGAGACTCCGTGGACGTGCGCCCAGTGCCGCACCATCATCTCCACCAATGCTGGGTCCTTTGCACGGGGGTGGTTGCTCTGGCTCCTCCCACATTTTTCAAACTTTGAACGCTTGGTCAATCTCCCGAGGTTGTTCCTCAGGACATCACACGGGGCTTGCACCAATGGAGTGGCCAACTCCAATGACTTTGTGCCAGCCACATGCGACAGTTTCAGGAGATTCGCCAGCATCTCGCTTGCGATGAGGACCGACTTCAGCGGGATTCGTTCAATGCTTTCCAGTGCCCTGTGTGATGGCCGCTGTGAGGCCACTCCACTTTTTGCATGGAGGTGCCAACCAGATGACATCAGGCATCTCCTCATCGATGAGTCGAAGTAGTGCTTGTCGATGTGCAGATCGGGTGAAGTTCCACTCCGGAAGGTCAAAGGTGCGGACCTCCCAGCCGAGTTCTTCCATGGCCTCGGACAGGTTGCTACGGCCGGAGTAGATTTCCCACAACACGTAGGTGGTGGCCGGCTTGGTTCGGAGAGTCGTCGACGTGCCGGTTTTGCTGGTTGTCCCACGTGGCCAAGGCCACGTCCAAGGTTTTCCACATTTTGTGAGGCAGGGGCATCTGGACGGGCTCGGTGGTGCCGTCGTTGTCGAGTTCGTGGTGAAGACAGCGTAGTTGGGGGATTGCCTCCTCCGCCACGTAGGCGGGTTCAGGAAGCATGGGGCCTGACCGGCCAGTGTCCTTGAGGTAGTCGTGGATGCCGTAGAACTTGATGTCGTGGTTACCCAGATCGGTGACCATGTCATCGGTCATGTAGTCGAAGCCGAGGTCCTGCTCGAGAGCATCCTCGATGCCTTCGTCCAGGCGAATGAGGTACTCACCCATGGATCCCCAAGTGGCGGGTTGCCATGGTTCTCCAAAGATGCTGCAGGTCTGCTGCTCGTGGTCAACCTTGAGCTTGAGGTGGGTCTACCGACCAAGAGAGGCGTCCGACCCTCGACCAGGAAGACCTGTAGTCGTCCCTTGTAGCCAGCCATGAACACTGGGAGGTGAATGCACCATGAGGCGATGCTGTTGCCGTCGCCGCCGAACCGGATGGTCTTGTGAGTTCTGCTGAACTTGAACTCGCGGGGATTGACGTTCTTCCGGACCATGTCGGAGACGATGTTCATCATGGTGCAGATGACGCTTGAGGCGCCGCCATCCTGTAGACCAGTGATCATGCCGTTGGGGGAATCCTGGATGTAGGCCATGTCTTCGGGGTTCGGCCACCATAGCATCGGCGCCTTTTGCGCGCTTGTTCGGGGAGTTGGAGTTTGAGGGGCAGTTGGCTGCCCAGTGACCCTCTTGACCCCATCGAAGACAACGGTTTTGTTGTGTGGCTGACTTGCCGCGGTCCCTTTTGGGGAGGTTTGCCGGTGTGCTTACCTCCTTTTCCTTTGGGATGTCGTCCGCCTTTTCCAGATTTTCCGCCAGGGCCGGGAGGAGACGAAGAGGGGTTGGCCATGACTGCATTCATCGAGCCGGACGGACCGAGGGCGACAACCGGTTGTAGCCGCGGGCAGATCTGACCTTGGCCAACTTCCGGCGAGCGTCCATGTAGGCCGCGTAGACTTCTTCTTCCTCCTGATGAGATTCATCCTCGGCGGCCTCTGGGTCGGCGGGGTAGTCCTCCTCAGCTTCCCAGAAGATCTCCTCGTCCTCGGGGACGTAGTCGGCTTCAAGGACGCCGTCACACGAGGGGCTCGGGGTAGTCTTCCTCGAGATAGGCATCGTCCTGCACATAGTGGGCGATGCTCGGCTTGCGGTAGTTGGACCACTTGTAGGTGGATCGAAACTTTGTTCTTCCGCCATCCCAGGTTGCGGCCGATGCGTAGGTCGGGAGGTGTAGTCCTGGCCGAACAGGTAGTACAGGGATTCCTCAACCTTGAGCTCGCCGGAGGTGTGGGTCATGACCAGCTGTCGCTGCTCCGCAGTGAGGTTGGCTCTCCTCAGCAGCAACCACTCAGAGATGGTCGGGGGCAGGTTGATCTTGTGTTTCTCGATCTCCCGAAGGTGTTCCCGGTGCTCGGTGCAGTAGGTCAGGAGATTCATCTCTGGTCGCCGCTGCAGGCGAAAGAAGAACTTCTCGAAGGTGCGGGGCATCTCGACGCGGTCGTACTGGAAGGCTTTGTCCAGTTGCTGGATTACATCTTGAAAACCATCATCCTTCGCAGCGGCCGCGTCGACCATGTGTTTGACTTGGCGCCAGGCAGGACCGCTGAGGCTGGTCAGAAGGTTGACGGTGGCCTCCTTCTTTTTGTTGTTGATGCTCATCTTCAGGTAGTACAGCATGATGCGCTTGCGGTACTCCTTGTAAAAAGCAGGCTTGCCATCGAAGAGGGGGATGAGGTTGTCCCTGGAGACATCGGTGGAACCAGGCCCATTGGTCTGTGAGCTGCTTCGGCCATGGTGGTGGCAGATCGGGGCTGTGGCGCTTTGTGTTGGGCTTGTGAAGGTGAAGGTGACGTAGGGCAGGCTCAGCTGAAGATGCCGAAGAGCAGGTTCAGGCGAGGGTGCCGTACTGCACGTGCAAGGGAAGGCGCCGTAGAGCAAGTCCAGGCGAACTTGCCGTAGGGCTCCGCTACCAACTTGAAGAGTTGGCACAAGATCCAAAACTCAGCACTCAAGGCGCACGAAGCCCCTGAGGTCACAAACGAAGCGGCCCTTTTGGCAGGGCGTGCGCAGTCAAAGGCTCCACATGGCCGCAGAGGCCAACATGTAAAGTGCCCACCCTGTTGGTGGGGGATATGAAATTGGGCCAGATGGCCGCACATGAAGTGACATGAATCCACCATGCATCATGTCGGATGACAACTTCACAAGAACCAATAAGCTCAGGTAATACCCCCAACAGCATGCATCCCCACAACCGCCCCACACATGAACCCTTTCCAGCAACCCTGCTCAAAACTGCCCTGTGCCAACCCTCCTCCCGCGCGTCCGAGGAGCCCTCCTCGGAACCGCCCCTCAACCCCTTGACACACCAGCAGCGCAAACATTCTGACCCATGTGTCGCAACGTCCTCTATGGCGCGTGCATGCGGGCGGCTGAGATGCCTGTTTTTGCCCATTGACCCTCCTTGCAGAGCGCCCGCACACTGGCCTGCGTGGGCACAACCACGTCGACAAATTCCTTTGGCGCTTCCCGGGAAGGGGCGCACGCTATTGTAGGCTCAGGGTAGCAGCGGCCACGATGTATCCAAAGGTTCACGCGACTGCCTTGTCCCATCTGAGCCCTCTGCGCCTTGGCTGCTGCAGTGCTGGGGTGGCTCTGGTATCTGTGCTTGGCTACACGAACACCTCCTTGGCAAAAGGTTAACGCCCAGGTTGGCGCTTTGCGCTGCCTTGGGCTTGTATGAATGGCGTGCTGACTGAATCACCTTGTCCGGCCACTTAGCAGCCATTTTGAGAGCGCACTCCTCGTTTGCCTTGCGACCCTGATCCGTTTCCTCCAAGCATGTCAGCATAGTAATGTGCCAGTTTGCACGCACACGCACCGGATTGTTTTGGCAAATCATGTCGATCCTGTTGTCGCTGGGCAGCTGTGAAATTAGGAAGGGCCCCTCTTTTGTTTCCAACTGCGACAGCTTTTAGAAGAGTTCTAACAAGGTCATGTTTGCCACCTCCCCCCCCCACGACATTCCCAAAATGCTCGCTGTCCAATCCAGCGCGCGCGGCAAACCATCTCACAAACCGCAGCACACACACATACACACACTGGGAATGCCACGATGGCACCTGATAGAGTCGGACTGGGCAAGCTCGGCGCACCGTCCGAATGATGACTAACCAGGTTTGCCAAGTAGAACTAGTCGCGCGCGCGAGAATTCTGGAGGAGGAAGCGCAGGCCAAGACACTCATGTCAGCGTTACAAGAACATGTTGGAATCAGTTCAAGTCAGAACTGCGGCGCGAGGAGGCTACACGTGCATTGGTGGCGCTGCCGGGGAGTGTGCTGCTAGTCGCCAGTGGCGAGCACAAGGCTAGAGTTTGCTGAAAGTGCAGATGGAGTCTGGCTTCAAAGAATCTCGCAAAGACCATAACAGAAGGCCCAAGCCCTTGAGAAGCGCAGAAACGTGATAGGTCGCACGCGTTGCCAGGCGGAGGCTCTGGCGCATTTGCGGCACGCCTGGCGCTCCAAGCGCGGCGGGGAGGTTGGAATGCCACTGCAACAAGAGTCAAACAAGTTTGCTCTGTATTGGCGCAAGCGCCTGGGCAAGAGGCTTGTGCCTTTCCCATGTTGCCCCATTTTGTTGTTGGCCGACTTTTGCTCCCTGTCAGCTTCCCAGCGTGCAGCTGAGCTTCTCCCGCAGTTCAACGGACGCGCTGTTGCAGGACCGCGCGCGTCTCACGCGGGCCAGAGACGCACTGCACTTTACGCAGGAGCTGGCCAAGGCAGTCTTGTGATGGAAGCAAGGTGCTGCACTTGCCGAGCAAGATGTCATGTCTTGTAGTGAGCTAAAGTGCCGGACGAATCGTCCAAAGGATTGCCAATGAAATGGCTGCACGCACTGAAAGCCGAGAAGCTGGATGCCGTTGCCATTGTGTCTGTTGTTGTTGTTGTTGTTGTTGTTGTTGTTGTTGTTGTTGTTGTTGTTGTTGTTGTTGTTGTTGTTGTTGTTGTTTTTGTTGTTCTTGTTCTTGTTCTTGTTCTTGTTCTTGTTCTTGTTCTTGTTGTCGTTGGTGTTGGTGTTGGTGTTGGCGTTGGCGTTGGCGTTGGCGTTGGTGTTGGTGTTGGTGTTGGTGTGGTTGTTGTTGTTGTCGTCGTCGTCGCGGTTGGTTGTTTTGGTTGTTGTTGTTGCTGTTGCTGTTGTTGTTGGTTGTTGGTTGGTAGTTGTTGGTTGCTGGTTGTTGGCTGTTGGCTGTTGTTTGTTGTTTGTTTGTTGGTTGTTTGTTGTTTGCTTGTTGTTTGTTTGTTTGTTTGTTTGTTTGTTGTTTGTTTGTTGTTTGTTGTTTGTTGTTTGTTGTTTGTTGTTTGTTGTTTGTTGTTTGTTGTTTGTTGGTGTTATTGTTGTTGTTGTTGTTGTTGTTGTTAAACAATTGTTGTTGTTGTCATTGTTGAACAATTGGTGTTGTTGTTGTTGGTTGTTGGTTGTCGTTGGTTGGTTGTTGGTTGTTTGTTGTTTGTTTGTTGGTTGTTTGTTTGCGGTGTGTTGTTTTGTTGTTTGTTGGTTGTTGGTTGTTGGTTGTTGGTTGTTGTTTGTTGTTTGTTGGTGGTTGTTGGTTGTTGTTTGTTGTTTGGTGTTTGTTGGTTGTTGGTTGTTGGTTGTTGTTTGCTGTTGTTGTTGCTGCTGCTGCTGTTGTTGTTGTTGTTGTTGGTTGTTGGTTGTTGGTTGTTGGTTGTTGGTTGTTGGTTGTTGGTTGTTGTTGGTTGTTGGTTGTTGGTTGTTTCTTTGTTTTTGTTATTGTTGTTGTTGCTGTTGCTGTTGCTGTTGCTGTTGCTGTTGCTGTTGCTGTTGTTGCTGTTGTTGGTTGTTGGTTGTTGGTTGTTGGTTGTGGGTTGTGGGTTGTGGGTTGTGGGTTGTGGTTGTTGTTGTTGGTTGTTGTTGTGGTTGTCGTTGTCGTTGTCGTTGTCGTTGTGGTTGTTGTTGTTGTTGTGGTTGTTGGTTGTTGGTTGTTGGTTGTTGGGTGTTGGTTGTTGGTTGTTGGTTGTTGGTTGTTTTTGTTGTTGTTGTTGGTTGTTGGTTGTTGGTTGTTGGTTGTTGGTTGTTGTTCCCTCAGACCGGCCGTTGAGCCGCGCTTGGCCCGTTTCCAATTCACTGCAAATACCATGCAAACTTGCTTTTCTGCTTTTTAAAACACTGCAAAACGCGACAGATCGAGGCAGTGCCGCGCACAGACCGGAAACGCCCACAATTCACCGTAAATACCATGCAAAATTGGTTCCCCGCTCAAAAAGCGCTGCAAAACGCGACAGATCAAGGCAGTACTGTATCCATGCCAGGCACATGGTAAGAACACCCGTTGAAGTGCACCCGCTCAGCACTGTATCCATGCCAGGCACATGGTAAGAACACCTGTTCAAGTGCACCCGCTCAGCACTGTACCCATGCCTGCCAAATGGTAAGAACCCACGCTCAAGTGCACCCGCTCAGCACTGCATCCATGCCTGCCAAATGGTAAGAACACCCGTTCAAGTGCACCCGCTCAGCACTGTATCCATGCCACACACATGGTAAGAACACCCGTTCAAGTGCACCCGCTCAGCACTGTATCCATGCCAGGCACATGGTAAGAACACCCGTTCAAGTGCACCCGCTCAGCACTGTAACCATGCCAGGCTCTTGGTAAGAACACCCGTTGAAGTGCACCCGCTCAGCACTGTATCCATGCCAGGCACATGGTAAGAACACCCGTTCAAGTGCACCCGCTCAGCACTGTATCCATGCCAGGCACATGGTAAGAACACCCGTTCAAGTGCACCCGCTCAGCACTGTATCCATGCCAGGCACATGGGAAGAACACCCGTTCAAGTGCACCCGCTAGCACTGTATCCATGCCAGGCACATGGTAAGAACACTCGTTCAAGTGCACCCGCTTAGCACTGTATCCATGCCAGGCACATGGTAAGAACACCCGTTCAAGCGCACCCAGCACTCCAGCACACGTTGAAGTGCACCCGCTCAGCACCATGCCAGGCACATGGTAAGAACACCCGTTCAAGTGCACCCGCTCAGCACTGTATCCATGCCTGCCAAATGGTAAGAACACCCGTTCAAGTGCACCCGCTCAGCACTGTATCCATGCCAGGAACATGGTAAGAACACCCGTTCAAGCGCACCCGCTCAGCACTGTATCCATGCCAGGCACATGGTAAGAACACCCGTTCAAGTGCACCTGCTCAGCACTGTATCCATGCCAGGCACATGGTAAGAACACTCGTTCAAGTGCACCCGCTTAGCACTGTATCCATGCCAGGCACATGGTAAGAACACCCGTTCAAGTGCACCTGCTCAGCACTTTATCCATGCCAGGAACATGGTAAGAACACCCGTTCAAGTGCACCCGCTTAGCACTGTATCCATGCCAGGCACATGGTAAGAACACCCGTTCAAGTGCACCCGCTCAGCACTGTATCCATGCCAGGTACATGGTAAGAACACTCGTTCAAGTGCACCCGCTTAGCACAGTACCATGCCAGGCACAGGGAAAGAACACCCGGACAAGTGCACCCGCTCAGCACTGTATCCATGCCAGGCACATGGTAAGAACACCCGTTGAAGTGCACCCGCTCAGCTCTGTATACATGGCAGGCACTATAGACCATTTTGATTTTATATGGCTTTATATATATGTAGTTGATAAAGTTTTGGGATATATATATATATATAAAGGCTATTTGGATTTTAGATGACTTTATTTATATAGAGTTGCTAAAGTTTGAGGGTATATATCTGTGTATGGACTATTTGGATTTTATATGACATTATGTATATTGAGTTGCTAAAGTTTGAGGGTATATATATATATGTATAGACTGTTTGGATTTTACATGCTTTTTTACATATGTAGTTGGTCTTCTCTGCTTTGGAACTGTGTTTTTGCTTGCAACATGCAAAGTGTGTTCGTGTGGAACTGTAGTGTTTGGGACGCCGTTTTTGTGTAAAATAGCGTCCTGAGAAATCTCCTGCTTTGGATTCAGCGATGTTAGAATGCATTGGTTTTTGCAGTGCAAAAGCTCCTTGTCAAGGGGCGGGGCGTTGGTGTTCGCGGCCAGACGACCGGTCGGACCGTTGTTGTTGTTGTTGTTGCTGTTGTTGTGGTTGTTGTTGTTGGTTGTTGGTTGTTGGTTGTTGGTTGTTGGTTGTTGGTTGTGGTTGTTGTGGTTGTTGTGGTTGTTGTTGTTCTTGTTGTTGTTGTTGTGGTTGTGGTTGTGGTTGTTGTTGGTTGTTGTTGGTTGTTGTTGGTGGTTGTTGGTTGTTGTTGGTTGTTGTTGGTTGTTGTTGGTTGTTGTTGTTGCTGTTGCTGTTGCTGTTGCTGTTGCTGCTGCTTCTGCTGCTGCTGTTGTTGCTGCTGCTTCTGTTGCTGCTGCTGTTGTTGCTGTTGCTGTTGCTGTTGCCAGGGACATGCCCGTCTGAGCATCGGAACCTTCACTTGATCTATTTGCCTCTGGGCGCCTGTCCTTGTCTCACCTGAAAGAAATCTCTCAGAAAGTGTGTGCATGAGTATCTTTCTGACATGTCTAGCTCCCTTTGTGAAGAGGCCTGCTTGAAGCGTTTTTCCAGTGTCAGGCAGGCTATCCAAAAAGTAGCAAAGCGCTTTTAGGTTGAACTTCTCGCAGGGCTCACAGACCAGCCGATTTTTGACGACCTTTGTTGAGAATGTCTCCTGTTCACGTTTGAGACCTCCGGCAACCCAAGACTTGGCGACTGACACGCTGACATTAGTAGCGTTTGCTGCAATTGTTGAGCACTCAAAAGTGTGCTTGTCTCCAACAGGAATGCCTGATCACTGAAGTTCAATCATTGTCCGCTTAGTTGGACCAGAGATCTGGATCCAAAGCCCAAGAACGACGTGCGGTAGCATTGCGATGGTAATTGCACTGCCAAATCTGTGGGCGCGCAAGCCGTACGCGAGAGTGATGGTCCGCAGGATTGAATGAATGTTTCATCGTAGGGAGGGTGGTGCGTTTAGGATAACGATCCTCGAATTGCAGCCATTTGCGGTTTACTGACAGCGTCGACAGCTTGGATTGCTCACAGAGCCTCTCAGACGCAAGAATGGGGGCACGGGAGCATGCATGACCTTGATGGCCAGTTACAGTACATTGCTGGCAACCGAGGCGCGTGATCATTTTGCTGAAGATCCCAAAGATCCCAAAGGTCCCAAAGGTCCCAAAGGTCCCGGATTGGCTTGGAATTGGTTTGGGGGTTCTGTAGCGTTGGCGAAAGGCTGGTTTAAGGCTGGCTTGCAGGGTTTAGGCTTGGAGTAGGGCGGATTAACGTTTGGTGTTGTGGGATTTTAGGATTGATTTAGGGAGACATGGCGGCCGGTCTGAGGCTGGTTCGGGGTTCGTTTAGGGTTTGCTTGCTAGGTGTTTTTGCATGTTCAGCAGCCTCCTCGTCGCAACAAACATGGAGTGAGCATGTCCGCTGGTGTGTTCAAAGTATCAAACGATTTCATGATGAAGCTCCAAAGCCAGAGTGCTGCTGTTCGGATTTGTTTTTCCCATTTTGGGTCTCTAGCTAGGTCTCTGGTCACATCGTCTTTCCATGGCCTTCGTCTTGAACCAAGGTACAGAGTTTCTCATACAAGGAAGTAGCTGACGTGCATACGAACGGAGGCTGACCCGTGGTTGGAAGTCATGCGTCAGACGCAACGTGCACAATGCAGCTGGATTGTTGGGCGTCTCACTCACATGCAGAAGCCTTGCAACAGGGTTAGGTTGGAGTAACTCTACATCCATCATAGTTCACCTGTCCAGAACTTGGCAAGGTATGGAAGTATCTGGACTCACACGAGCCACTCTGCGGTGGATTCGGGGTATGGGGACAATTCGAGATTTCTCCATTGTTCTACATCAATTTGGTGAAAGCTGATAAGCAGTGCAGTTTACAAGTCAAGTTCTTCCGTCAAGCTGTCAATGTGCGGTTCGAATGCTGGAATATCATATGCCTGTTTTGCTGCTCCATTTGACCCAGTTGACCTGCAAAATCAACTCTTGCAGGTCATAGGCGCCACACCTGTTTGTCAAGCTCAGTCTTAGACAAAACATGGCAACCAGTGTGACCTGCACCCGCCAAGGCCATGCCCGTTCAGTCGAAGATTTGCCGTGGTGCCGCTGTGCTGGGCGCCAGTGCGGTTGGTCTGGGCTTTGTGGTGCCACAGGTGCCGAATGTTTGACTCGTGCGGGCTGCATGTTGCATGGCCAGGCCAGCCCCAGCGCGGCACGGGCCGCGGCGTCCACGGCGTCTGCCTCCCCGGCCTCCCCTGCCTTCAGCCCGAGCACGGGCATCGCGAGCTGCGCAGTGGCCGGGGCCGTGAGCTTCGCCGCAGCCCGCCGCGCCGGCGCCCGCAGCACCCGCGCCCGCAGCAGCACCAACGCCCGAGCCCAGCGGGTGGCGTTGTTTGCCCGCGGCGGCGAGGAAGACACGCGCGTGTGCATCCCGCTTGAGGACAGTCGGAGGTCCTCGGTCGTAGAGGTTGGGGGTCAGTGCCGAAACTCACCAGGAACTCCGCAACACCGATGTGGACAAAGTGGGCGGCAAGAGCGCCTCCCTGGGCGAGATGATCTCGCAGCTCTCCGACGTGGGTGTGCCGGTGCCAGGCGGGAAGTTGAGCGTGGAGATGCGTGGAGAGTACTGGAGATCGGGGGTTGACAATGTTCAACTCAGATCTTCTTTGCGCCCTGCTTCCACACCGATCGCACAGCAGACGGGATAGCATGTTGATTAGTTCAGGAAGGCTGAGTCGAGTCAATTTGGTGGTTCAGGTGGCTTCAGCACCACTGCGTTTGCCTACAAGGAGTTCCTGGACAAAGGCGGGCACCCTTGAGCACTAGTAACCTCCTTGGGGCACATCGCTTTGAGTGGGGCGTGAAAACAACAACATAATGAAGAGCAGATCGCGAACTTGGCATGTTTGGATTCCACGACAACCAAGGTGGCATCAACGACTTCATTAACAATCAGCTCTCGGATGATACCATCTATACAGATGTGAACAAGCTGATGGAGGCCTTGTGAGGAGCCCTCATGCGGCCTTTGTGACTGGTCTGTGTATTTCTAGCGCTTCAATCAAGATGAAGCGCAGGTCGGCAAAGCAATCCGTGACAAGATCATGGACACCCCGTTCCAGCAGGATTTTGAGGCGGAGCTGAAGGCTGGAATTTCGTGAGTTGTGGACCAGATCGATGCCCGCTCCTTACCCCCCAAACAGACTTGGAACCAATACCAGGTCATCCGCTTGTAGAGGTATTTGTGAGTTTGGGAGAAGCAAAGCTTGGCTTGAGTCATTGCGCAGTCTTGCGGCATTGGTTATTCCGTTGTTTTTGTTTGCCATGCAGCATGATGCTCTGGCTACGTGGCATGCACATGAGTCACATTGCTGTTCGGATTGGATCCGGGATCACTGGGATTCGGCATCCGGGATCTGGGAAATCGCCAGGAACAGTGGAGCCGCGTCTCCGGCGGCGACGACAAGTTCACGTTCGCAGTGCGGTCTTCTGCGACGGCCGAGGATCTGCCAGACGCTTCCTTCGCTGGGCAGCAGGAGACCTTCCTCAACGTCATGGGCTATGAGGAGCACAAAGACTGACAGCCTGAGGCGAACGCAAGCGGACGGGAGGGGCATGTAATTCCGTTTCGTACAGGACCTGAAGCAGAAGGTGCACTTGGTCTTCGCATCGCTCTTCACAGACCGAGCCATCTCCTACCGCCATGACCGAGGCCGGAGCAGCTTGCGTGCGGGCCGGGCATGAAACGGCACTCAGCGCAGAAGATCAGAAGAAATCGCTTTTGAGCTTGTCGCGTTCCAGTCAGTCCCAGTCTAGGCATGGCGATGCCAGTACCCTGGTGAGGCTTTGAGCACGAGAAGGTCCAGCTCTGCGCAACCTGCCAAAAGATGGTGCGCAGCGAGACCGGCTCCGCAGGCGTCATGCCACCTGGCTGGCGTTGGCACAGCCTCAAGGCAAGTGCAGAAGTAGTCACGCAAGCGCGCGCGCCATGTTCTTTGATGGCAAAATGTCCCGAAACAAAAGAAACGCCTGGGTTGGTGAGTCTGTGCTGCCAAGAGATGTTTGTGTGCGTGTGTGTGTGTCACCAGTGCTCAATCTGATTGGTCAACATGGCCCAAGGTTCTCCCTTGACACCGAGAGCGGCTTCAAAGATGTGGTTTTTGTGACCGCTGCATGGGGCCTGGGCGAGACGGTGGTGGGTGGCACCGTGAACCCGGACGAGTGGCGCCCAGACTCCTCTTTGTGTTTCGGGGCTGGCGCATGCTGGTGCCATTTCCAGTCCTCACTTGAGTGGCGATCATAAAACGTATGAAGAAGCTTAGTCTTGGGGTGCCAAACTGGGATTCCGCGGAAGGATTGGTTCAGGGCGCGGAAGCTGCGGAAACAAATGCTCGTTCCGCGGAAGCCTGCGGAAGATGCGCTAATGCCAGTCTCATTGCCTGCCCTTTCGACTTTTCCTGTGCGTCCATCCGCAGTCCTCACTTGCGATGCAGCTGTGGCCATGTCCGTGACAAGCGTTGCCCGTGCTGTCCGGCTGGCTGCGAGGTATGTCTTCAAGCCCACGCTGGCGGAGGGCAAGAACTCCGTGGTCTCGCGCACCATGGGCTCCAAGCTGGTGAAGATGATCTACAAGGCTGGGCCGGGCAGGAGCGCCAGAGTGGGGGCTTAGCCAGGAGCCCAGGGCAGCAAAACTGCGAGCCGCAGCTTTGTGGCTACAGGTCCTGAGAAGCCTCGTCACGCCGCCATGCTGGCGAACGCTTTTCACGTGCTTCGTCGATCGATTTTTCATGGGGCTGATGATTTACCGGTGCCTGCATGCTGAAAGTCGCAAGTGCGACAAGAAAGCTTACTTCACACTTTGGGCCGAGTCTCGTTTTGGACTTCGGAACGACATGCTTTCACAATCTTTGTCAAGACCCTAGATGCCAGCGTCTTCATAGATTTGGTGATGGCGGTTGGCGCGCATGTGAAGTGATTCGCTCTTAAGTGTTTAGCCATAGTTTCCGTTTGTTGGTGGAAGGATGTTTGAGAGCAGCGCTCTCCACCCATAGTTCCGATTGCTTTTGGGCCAGAAGGAAGTTGCAACAAGACCTGGGCGAGACTGCTCTCGTTGCCTAAAGTTTTGTTCATTAGAAAATCCAACTTGGAGGCGGGACTGCTTGGCAGCCCTCACATGAGTAGAGCGCAGCTTGGCTCCGTTACACGTCCCCGAAGGAAAAACCGGCTACTAAACAATCTGTCTAAGTTGCATCAATATGAGGAATTGCGCAGAGACCCCTGGAGGGGCCAAACAAAAACACATTGCCGTGAACGCCTCGCGTTGCCGGCCTCGGCCAGAATGTTTGAGGTACTGTGTTTTGGTTTGCGTTGAAGTGTTGTGTTTGTCTGAGTGAGTCGGCACCGAAATGCGCCAGCTGGTTTCCAAGATGTGTTTTGTTCACGTGTTGTTTCTACAAAACCATGCGTGCCGAATGGCCGCTTGGCTCAAGATTTGGTTTGGTTCCCCCATCGGGATTTCCTTGGATTTGCGTGCGTTCGCCATAGTGCGGCGATTGGCTGCGCCATCGCGGAAAAGGTCCGTGGTGTTCCTGCTGATCGGCACTAGGAGGTGGGCGGCAGGTCGCCGAGGTGCCCTTGTCTTTACCTTCTTCAACCTATTTCCTAACCTCCCCAAACTTGATCTTCATTAACTGTCACTCCCACAATCTGGTCACCAGCACCTTCTACATTGTGCTTTGGGACTGGGTTCTTTTGGTACTTCGTGAACCACGTGTACCCTCTTTGATTCCCTGGGCTACCTCGTGTTCGCCCAAAACCGCAACCGCAGGTTATACAGCCGTAACAGCTAGAAGCTGGGGCTGGTGGCCCGGTTGCGGGACGTGACCCCCGACGCAGTATCATCTTACCTGTCAGGTACCCATGATCGGGATGCGGACCGCTACAACGCTGGTCCAAATCCACTACCATCCTCAGGTACCCGAGAACGGGATGCGAGCCGCTACAACGCAGGCTCAAATCCGCCAAACCCAACCTCAGGTACCCGTGAATCGGACGCGGGCCGCGAAACAGCAGGCCCAAATCCGTCATCCACCTCATCGAGAACCCATGCTGGTCTCTTGGCGGCCTTCAATCGGCGTTCGACTCGAAAAGAGTCCCCCTGATGTGATCGACCTTGAGGAGCAGTCCAGCCTTCATGCCAGTTTCAATTGGTATTGGATCCACCCCCTTTGATCTTCTCGACATCCCGTTTCATCAACCGCCCAGGAGAGGGAATGAGGATGATGAAACCATCCCTGGAATTCTCGACGTCATCGACGAGGCTGAGATCACGACTGAGAGGCGCACAACGTCGCTCCCACCGAGCCGCGTTGCCAAGGTTCTTTCACCGAAGCCCATCACTGACGATGTTGCTCAACGACTTGATCTTACTCAGCTTGATCACGAGCGAGATCAACTGCGTGGATCATCATCTCTTGGCCTTCCGTCGGGACGGCACTGACTCACGGGCCACGAAAAGGAGCTCCGAGTCACCTGAGAGACGCGAAGCTGACCTTCGATTGCGATCCCTTCCTCCTGATCATCACGATCCTGTTGACGTCCCTATCCACTCGGCAGGGTCTGGACTTAACTCCAACGCCCCGATGTCTGAGAAGAACACTGATGACGGGATCATTGCTACGCCCAGGAATCGACGACAGCGGTCAGTTACCGCCGTCCCTGGAAATGGAGGACCCCCATCCATCGTTCCCACTTTCTTCACTCCGAGTTGCACCCCCGACACGAATGAGGGTGGTCAGCGAGATCAGAGGGTGCAAGGCTGAAATCCAGGGCTGCAGAACTGAAATCCGTTCGTGCAGGGATGATATAAGCGCATGCGTTGGGGAGATCAAAAAGATCAACAGCCGCATTGACACCTTCGAGAAAAAGGTCGAGTCATCATTTTCTGCCGTCGCCGGAACGTTCTCGAAACACGAGGCCAAGTTCCGTGAAATCCACGAATGGATCGGTCGGAGTGAGAAGGAGACGAATGAGCGTTTCAAAATGTATGATGAGAGACAGTCATCGTCTCTGCCGCTGGACTCCGCGAACAAGCCGAATCCCTTGAGAACATCAAGGTTCAGCTCCTTAGGTTCTCCGAGATCGGGGCCCTTGAGGCTGAGATTCGAAGGATCAACGATGAGGTCGAGGCGAACTCTCGCAGTGTCATTGACATGGAAGCGACCATCGCAATGGTTGACCATTCGCGGGAACGTTGAAACATACATTCAACACCTTGTCCCAGCCACTGATCTAAGACAATTTAGTGACCGGATGTCTGGAGCCCTCAACAAGCATTCTCCGAAACACGAGGAGCACAAGCTTCAGTTGTCCCGTATTGCCAGATGTGTCAAGGACCTTCACGACGGAAGTCAGGGCCCCAATCCGAAAGACACGCAGGCGCAAGTCATGAAACTAGTATTGCGGGTCAACGAGATCAACATGCAATTGAGGGAACGACCTCCTGCTGCCTATGCATCCCCAAGTGGTGGCGCTGCATCGGGCACCGGAGCGCGATCCTGGGACAAGTCTGGGAAAACAGATTCCTTAGTCCAGGGGCGAATTCATAGAGGTTCTCCTCCTCGTGCTGCTCGCGTCGCTGACTCTGTGACCTCCTCCCCCGCCTCCTCCTTCTGGACCACCTCCATCATCACCGTTTGCCCCGTTTTTGGCAGGGATCCCTCTAGAACAAGGACCGCCACTCGGGCTGCTGGCGCTGTGCCTGACAACCGGGCCAGATGTGCTCATGAGGAGCCTGGGCATCCACAGCATCGGGAACCTCGCTATCCATGCCGAAACTGCGGCAAATCCGTCTGTGAGGACTGTTTTGATCATGATTGCAACTCATGTTTCAAATGTAGCGATCAGTTTCCCCGCTGCCGCACATGCAGAGGAAGAGGAGGGAGGCATGGTCTTCAGACATGTCTTATATGCAAGGAGGACTACTGCGATCAGCACATCGCATCACCCGACGAAGTGCGCCGATTTGGGTCGACTGTTCGACCTATTTGTCTCGGATGCCTGAGAGCCGACCGCGATGGCAAAACCAAGCATCGCGGCCCCAGTGTAGAGTTCGGGGAGCTTCGCATAACCGACAAAATGGCGCTGCTCCTGATCCTGGGTCTGGACCATCGCGTGGAGGTCCGTCACATCGGAGCCCTGAACCACAGCAAGGGAACTCCGGCTCCCGCTCCCACAACGGAGCTGCAGGACCGCCAAGGGCAATGTCATCGCCCATCGTTGGCCGGGCTGCTTCGAAGGGAACCACCGGTACATATCCCGGATGTTCTCCTACTGGAGGTGTTATCACTGGACAGGTCGAACATGGAACATCACAGGGAAGTATTAATATGCGGAAGGTACGGATCTGACGCTGCTGCGACAAATCAGCAGACTCTACAGCCTACTTACGGAACACAGGACAACTCTGGTAAATCAACTGGTTTCTCTCTTCCACCTGGACTCGGTAAGAGTGTGCACGGCATCAGTGGTGGCGGCGGTATTGGGGATCCCGATCTTCATCGATCCTCTGCTGAAGAAAGAGTATGTCCCCGTTGCAACATCAATGTCAAGTCCAACGTCCCCGGAACACCTCCCTGGTTTCAAACTTGCTCGCTATGCCGCACATCTTTGTGTGCCGCATGCTGCCCGCCTTCATCGGGGAGCTGTTCTCTTTGTGCCATATCCATTGGCAGGGATTGCATTCTTCCTCCCCATGTTTTCGGGCAGGCTACTCGACCGCCTTTATCTTCGCTACCCTCCGAGGCGAACAAATGCGCCAACATAGAGCTCAAAAAAAAACGCCACACGAGCTACGAGACTGGATCATCTCCACTCGAGAAATCGTGAGCAACGCATTGAGCTACGACTCGCTGTATGCCATGTCTTGGGTTATGAGCGTTGAGAACGCCAGCACCATAGAGGAACTTGATGAAGAATGCCTCTATCCGATCCTTGATAACAGATTCAACGCTGCGCTAAGGAAGTGCATTACCTCGAAGCCCATTGTTGCCAAAATCAGCAGGCTAACTGAAGAGGCTCAGGTGAAAAGGGGGACCGATGCTCTTCTGCTTGATTGAGTACCTTCGTCCTGACAAGGTCGGGAGCCAGTCGATTCGCACCAATGAACTCCTTCGCCTATCCCTTGGCAGAGCTGCTGGATCTGGTGAACCTCAACTCGAGAAATTCCTTGACAAATGGGAAGGGCTTCTCGGCGGCATCACCGCGCCGATAGATCACCACGTCCTCCAGCACGTCTTCTTTGAGCAGGTTCGACATTCAGCAGCTCGCAACGCTGTGTCGAAGGACGCGCTACAACGTTTCCGAGACAAAGGGTCGGATGTATTCTCGATCACCTCACACAGAACGTAATTCCAATGCCGCCAGCTCCTGGGGCGCGCCGTCCTTCACCTTTCGGCGATACTCGTAAGACTGGGATTGGCGTTGATCGCCGACCTTCGCCGAACTCGCGATGGAGGGACGGGAGATCGAATGAGCAAGATCGCAGAAAAGCGCGGTCTGAAGACCCCAGACGCAGCAGTAGGGATCGTACTTCTCCTGGAAGAGATCGCCGCCATGAGCAACCTGCCGCTCCTG